CCCCCCCCCCCACCCCCCACCACACACACACATACAGGAGAATGCCCTTGTGAGAGTCGACATCGAAGCGGCCACGCCGTCGAACCCGCCAACACCTCTGTTTGATGTACCCGATGATGACCGGAAAGTGTGTCGCATGGATGCTGTTCCTCTTGTTACTCCTGATGCTCCTACCCCTCTGCCGCTGGCCGCACCTGCGCCTACTCCCCCGCCTCATGTCGCGGATACCCTTGCTCTGTTTGACGCCTCTTGGACTGTTGTCGAGCGAGAGTATGCCGAGTATGGTCGCGGCCGCCCGCCTATTCCGCTTCGGGCCACAAAGCTCTTTTTCCCGGACCTGGAGATGTACGAGGTCGACATGATGGTGCCGCAGTCAGACGAGGGTGGCTCGGGCGACGGCGATGACCACGCCCACGCCGCGCCGTCCGGCGCCAAGAAGTCGAAGCTCGAGCAGATGTTCGAGGATGCTGCCGCAGACGAGCAGGGCTCTGAGAAGCGCAAGCGAAAGCGGAGACGCCGCCGCCACCACGGCCACAGGCGCAAGGGCGACAAGGGCGGCGATGCCGGCAAGGTCAAGGGCAAGGGCAAGACCGGCGACGTCAGCGCCGATGCTGACAACATGCCCGAGGAAGACGATATCGAGCTCGAGCTTCTTGCCGAGAGGGATCACAAGACCGACAAGCGCAACGCCAAGATCCGCTCGCAGGACCGCGCCCCGCTCCTCCGGGTCTTCAAGGACCGCACCGCCATTGCTGACATTCCTATGTCAGACCCACGCCGGACCGGTCCTGGCTACCTCGATTCGGCGGCCTCCATTGTCGAGATCTCGTTCGAGGGCCTCGAGTTTGAGCTCGGCGACATCGAGCCTTTCTTTGTCTCGGCCGCTGTCTTTGACCTCAAGCACAACTCGCGGCTGACTGACTACTTTTCGACTTCGCTCAATCCGCCGCACCTCTGCACCATGATCTACGGCGCGGACATCCCCGAGTTCCCAGTCACCTCGGCCCGTCGTGTCGCCTTTCCCATCATGTACCCGCACGCTGACATGTGGCTCGTCGTTCGCATCTCCAAAGTCCTGCAGGGCGACTACGAAGACGCTGCTGACGCCTACATCAAGCACGCCAAGAAGGATCCCGGCAAGTACCACATGGCCGCCCAGGAGTTCTGCCGTCGTCTCGGTGCCTATCGCCAGGACTTTGCCTTTGCCGCTATCCCACTCTTTGACAAGTCCGGCAAGGTCACCGTGTCCAAGCGCGGCGTGCCGACCTGCCAGCAGACCTGCTCCCGCCTCTTCCGCCTCTCTAAGCTTGTGTCAGAGACCAAGCTCCTCGCCACCATCCACGAGACCATCAAGGCCGGAAACGTCAAGAAGCTCAAGGCCATTCCCGGCAAGCTCAAGTACTCGGTCCGTGCCGCGCCGGCCTCGGGCTACGCTCCGCCTGGCCGCTACTCGCCGGCGCTCGCCCCGCTCGCCCCGGCCGCCATCCCTCCCGACTCTGACACCGCCGCCGCCATTGCCGACGCCTGGGCCGCCGTGGCCGAGAAAATGCCCGCTGCCATGCCGCCTCCGCCCGGTGTCGACCTAGACCCTCGTCCGGGCCTTCCTGACCTCTGGGTCGAGGGTTATGACTACGAAGACGACACCGTCTACTTTTTCAACCTTTCTACAGGCCACATCATCTACGGCGAGTGCCCGCCGCAAGGCGCGCTTGTCAAGTATGCCCAGCCGCTGCTTCCGTCCGACGACCTCCCGTCCGCCGTCGCAGACGTCATCCGCGTCCAGCAATCATTTGTGTCCGAGGCCGTACTCCCGGGCCGCGCCTTTGTCAACAACCTTCATCTCTCGCTCGACACGCTTGATGCGTCAAAGGTCAAGGTCTCCATCAAGGCCAAGCTCAATCTCGGCGTCCGGGTCCAGCTCAAGTCGTCTGACGCCTCCATTGGCCCTGACGACAACGTGCTCGCCACCTTTTACGGCGGCGCGCTCGACGAGCCGCGCACCGCATACGCCCAATCGTCGGTCGCTTTCCAAGTCAAGAACCCGTCGTTCATGGACGAGTTCAAGCTCGAGCTTCCGCTTGCCCTCGAGCCGGGTACCCATCTCCTCTTTACCGTCTTTCACGTCAACGTCAAGCTGCCCAAGAAGAAGAAGAACGCCCCGCCCGTCGAGGAAATCGTCGGCTATGCCGTCCTCCCGCTCACTACCGCCGCCATCTACGACTGCCCGCTCAACATTGTACTCGCGCCCAAGGCGAGCTCGGCGTCAGATGTGCTCGGCACCGACCTGTCGGCCCCGGGCGTCGCCTGCGCCCGTGACGCTGTCTACCACAAGGCCGGCTCCTCCGCCCTTGTTATCGGCGACGGCCTCTACGGCCTGCCGTTGGTCTACGATCTCGCTCCGGGCTACCTCACCGCCGACCTCTCCGACGCCGCTGCAGACAAGGGCCAGCCCATGCTCGCCCTTCGCACCACCCTCGCCTCCACCGTCCTTGTCCAGGACCCGGCCCTCCACGAGTTTACCCACGTCTACCACACCTCGTTTGACTCGGAGCCTGTCATGAAGGCTGCCGTCATCGGTCTCGAGCGCGTCGCCTGCTCACAGACTGTTGCCCACGGCCACCTGCTCCTCCACTACCTGCTCAACGTCGCCCTCTACGGTCGCCAAACCTCCATCGAGAACGGCGTCCGCAAGCAGGGCGTCGCAGAGCTTGCCTTCCGTGCCCTCCTTCGCACCATGGACATTCTCGTCGAGGCCTCGCTCCATACTGCCCAGGGCCCGCACTCGATCCTCACCAACTGGGTCAACTACATTTTTGACGAGGACACCTTCCTCTTGCCACCCAAGTGCTCGGACCAGGCCGACGCCGACGCCTCGGTTCCGTCGCGCGCAGGCCGCCTCTTCTCCGGCATCCTCGACGTCTGGCTCCCGCTCCTCGCCAATGCCAAGACGCCCGCCTCCGAGTCGGGCGCTGCACACGCGGCTGTCCTCTTCGAGCTTGTCGTCAAGTCGATGACCCTCTGGCTTGATGCCCAGACCCGCGCCGCCGGTGGCACTAGCCTCGGTGACGGCCCGCCCGCCCCGGCCCGCCCAGCCCGCTTTCCGCACCCGTTCCGCCACTCAGTTGCCCAAGTCTTTGAGCTCCTCCGCAAGCACGTCTTTGTCCTCTCCTCCACCGGCCTCGTCGTTGCGCAGCAGCTCAACGCCGCGCTCGCCCTCTTTGCACGCGACCTGTTTGCGCTCATGAACCGCGGCTTTGTCTACGTCGTTGTTCAGCGCTACGTCCGCCAGTTCACGCCGGCCACGCCGGGCTTCACCGACTCGCTCTACCGCATCAAGCTCAACTTTCTCAAGATTGTCTGCGACTACGAGCACGCCATCTCGCTCTCGCTTCCAGGCCTCGACACCGTCGACTACTTGCTCTCGGTCCCGACCCAAGGCCCTCTTCGCATGGCTGCACCTGACACCCTGCCTGACGAGGACGAGTCCGGCTCGGCCTCGGCCTCGTCGCCGCTCAAGACTTCGCCGTCGGACGTCGACCTACTTGTCCCGCCCCCGCCCAACTCGGAGGTGATCGCCGACCCCAACGCGCTCCTTGCTGCTGCCGAGTCGTCGACAAACGACGCCCTTCTTGCTCGGTTCTGGACCGCACACCCGCTCTCGTCGCTGCTGCTCTTTGAGATTGCGTCAGGCCTCGACAACGTCGAGCGCACCATCCGGGCCCAGTGCCTCGCCCTCCTCCGCGATCTGTTCTTCAAGTACGAGCTCGACGCACGGGTTCTTGCGCTCCGCGACGCAGATGACGAAGGAGTCGGCAACGGCGACAAGGGCGAGCGCGCTGGGCTTCACGCCCAGATCGCCGCCACCTACTTTCCGTACGTCCGCATGCTCGCCTGTCTCCCACGCGTCCGCGACGAATGGGACCGCGCCGAGCAGCGCGAGGCGCTCATTGGCCTTGTCTGGCTTCTCAAGCGGTGCTCGCGCCGGCTCCTCCGCTCGTGGTGGGACCACGAGGCCGAGTCAATCCTGCTGGAGTTCTTTGCCCTTCTCTCCACCGTCCTCGAAGCTTTTGAGTACCAGGGCCAGGTCTCTCTCCGCGAGCAACGCATCAAGGAGGCCGCCGTCGCCGAGTCCAAGGCCAACAAAAAGCTACTCGAGGACATGTACTCGGGCACTGGCGGAACCCGCCGCTCTTCGTCCGCGGCCTGGGCCGCGTCCGCCTCCACATCATCCGGTCTCATGTCCGCAGCCTCGGGCTGGGGATCCATGTCGCGGACCTCGGGCCGCTCGACCATCAAGCGCACCCGCGGTCGGTCCGGTACCACCACTCGCCCGTCGTCGGTCCGCCGCGCCTCGGTTGCGCGCGGCAGCGACGCATCCGCCGGACCGAGCGCCGGTGATGGCGACACCTCTGTCCTCGGCCCGAACACGGGCTCGCTCACTGCCGGCCGTATGTCCATGATGCGCGCGGCGGCGGCGTCGGTCGACGTCACCCCGTTTGACGTCGCACTCGAGACTACGCTCGCCACCGAGGTCTCGCTGGTGGTTCTTGACGTCATGGAGACGTTTGTCAAGTTCTTTGACGGCCGTCTCCGCAAGGACGCCGGCGAGACGCCGCTCTTTGCGGGCGTCTTCTCCGTCTACCTCTCGCTGCTCGAGACTCATCAGAGCGAGCGGCTTGTTCGCGCGCTCTACGCGTCGCTTCGGTCGTTTGTGCAGCGCTTCGACTCGATCTTCTTCATGGGTGACAACCCGTACTGCTGCGACCTCATGCGCCTGGTCATGGTCCACTGCAACTCGGTCTCGGCCGTAATCCGTGGCGAGGCCACCGCGCTCATCTACCTGTGCATGAAGGTCAACTTTAAGCTCCCGACTGGCTACCGCGACTTTTCGCGCATGAAGCTCCAGGCGACCAACGCGCTCTCGGAGCTTGCCGGCGAAGAGCTCCGCGACGACCGCAACGTCACCCGCGCTCTTCGCGCCATTGTCCGCTACTCAGAGGAGGACACCTCACCCGAGTCGCGCGACGAGCTTGACTTCCGCGAGCAGGTCACGGAGCTCATGGAGCGGTTCTTCGACATCCTCCGCAACTCGGCGCTTCTCAACTCCGCCAAGGGCGATGTCGAGATGAAGGGCGATCTGCTCCACCGCATCGCGCAGGGCTACATGAACGCGCCGAACTTGCGGGTCACTTGGCTCCGCAAGCTCATGAAGTTCCACAAGGCTAATGGCCAGATCATGGAGGCCGCGATGTGCCAGACCCACCTCGCGGCACTCTCGGCCGAGTTCCTCTTCTGCACCGAGCCCGAGCCGCATCTGCCCAAGGGCGTCGCCGCCTTCAAGGCCATCACCCGCAACGCCGAGGAGGAGGCTGCCGTTGCCGACGTCACCCACTCTCAGGCCGAGGGCGTGACCCAGGAGGCGACCTACACTCGCGAGGGCCTTGTCAAGCTCCTGCACGCCGCCGTCGATGAACTTGTCGCCGCCGAGCTGTGGGAGGCCGCCAACGAGGTCTACAAGATGCTTATCCCCATCTACGCCCGTGAGCGCAACTACCCGAGCCTCGCCGCGCTCCACGGCCACCTCGCCGAGCTCTTTGACAAGATCCAGCAGTCGATCGAGTTCCAGAACCGTATCCTCTCCTCCTACTACCGCGTCGGCTTTTACGGCTCCGCCTTTGAGGATCTCGACGGCGCGGAGTTTATCTACCGCGAGGAAAAGATTACCCGTCTCGCCGAGTTCACCGCTCGCCTGCAAGAGATCTACGAGACCAAGTTTGCCGCCGCAGGCATCAAGGTCGTCATCCTCCGCGACTCGTCCAACGTCGACCGCAAGTCACTCGATCCGAACACCGCCTTTGTCCAGATCACCTCGGTCGAGCCGTACTTTGAGGCCCACGAGGCGACCGAGCGGGTCACGTACTACGAGCGAAACACCAACCTTCGCTCGTTCATCTTTGAGACGCCATTCACCGAGGGCGGAAAGGCGCACGGTGCCACCGATCAGCAGTACAAGCGCAAGACAATTCTCAAGGTCGAGAAGGCCTTCCCGTACCTCACCAAGCGCATCCGGGTCGCCGAGCGGACCTCGTTTGTCCTCACGCCCATCGAGAACGCGCTCGAGGAGATCGAGCGCCGCGTCGAAAAGATCCGCGCCGAGCTCCGCGGCGATGCCGCCAACCTCAAGACCCTGCAGATTGTCTTGCAGGGCTCGGTTCGCCTCCAGGTCAACGCCGGGCCCATGGAGATTGCCCGCGTCTTCCTCGGCGACGACGCCGGCAAGTTTCCCGACGAGCACGTCACCGCCCTCCGCGCCGCCTTTGCTGCCTTTATCACTGCCTGCGGTGAGGCCATCGCCCTCAACCGCGAGCTCATCAAGGACGACCAGTACGCCTACCACCAGGATCTCGAGCAGGGCTACAAGGAGACCCGCGAGTCGCTTGCCCAGTACATTGCCCCCGGCTCTGACGGTCTCCCCGGCGACGCCGACGACGCCCACCTCGACGACGCCCGCGGCATCGACTCGTCATCTGACGTCTCGCTCTCCGACGACGACGACTACTCCAGCTCGTCGTCCACCGAGGAAGTCGTCCTTGTCGAGACCAGAGGCGGCAGCAAGACCGAGGCCAAGGCCGACAAGCCGTCCGTCCCCTCAGTCCCGCCGCCCAAGGCACCGGCTGCAGAGACCTCTGACTCGTCTGACGACGACGAGGACTCGAGCTCGTCGTACGACTCGTCGTCATAGCCGCTGAAACCGCACCACACGGTCGGTCGAGCAAGTGAACAACACAGAACATAACCGTGTCCACTCACAGCCATCGATGTGCTACTCACGCCACAGCGAGTCGTCACCCACATAGTCGGCAATCGCCGCCACGTCTGGTGCAAAGAACGCGTCCAGCCGCGCGCGGGTCGCGGCATGCATTGGCTGGCGCTCGCGTGACGGCTGTCCGTTGAGCGTCGCCGGCCCACCTTCAAGAATGTCGTCCCAAGCGGCAGTAGTCAGCGTCGAGTCAACGCCGACGTGATCAAAAACGCGGGCGAGGACACGCTTGGGTCCCGCCACGTACTCCTCGTGGGTGACGACGAGCAGCGCGCTGGGCTCGGGGAACGCTGCGAGCCACTCGGGCAGAAACTCACCGTACATCGACTTGATGATCTGGTCAGCGTGGTAGAACAGTGCTTGATACCGATACTCGATGGCCTCAAACTCGAGCGCGCACTTGAAACGCGAGTATTTGGCAATACACTCCTCCAACAGCGTTAGCTGTGCGTCGAGGTAAGCATCAAAGCCGTCGGGGCCAAATCCATACTCGGCGTCGTACTGTCCGTACTTGTTGTACGCGGCGTAGAGGCGATCCGCCGGGTTGCGGAGCACCACAATGAGCTTGGTCGACGTTCCCACAGCCGCCCGTACAAGATACGGCGTGGTGAACGCCGAGAGCGTCTCATCGCGTCCGGCTGGCACGCCATGCGCACGAGCAAACTCGAGCTCCGCCGCTCGCGACTCTTGGATGCACCTGTCGCGGCCGGCGTCAGTCCGCTCCTGTCCTCCCGCGCCCAGCTCTGTCCAGCACTCCCTGGCCGCCTTTGCAAACGTCGGTCGCAGCAAGTCTGTGCTCTGCGCCCACATAAACTCAAACGTAGCGGGGGAGACTTCGCCGACCAGATGGTCCGGTGCCGAGAGGAGGTGTTTCTCGGCAACCCGTGACATGGTACCCGCATAGTCTTCCCACTTGTGCGGCTCGCACCAGAACAGAATGTGCAGACCTGACGCATCATGGATGGCCGGATGCCTGCCCATGCGGAGATAGACGTCCTTGACGCCAGCCTGGAACACACCCAGGATCATGAACGCCGGCATGCACCTCAGCCCACCGCCATCGTCCAGCCAGCAAGGAGAAGCATAGCCATCCAGCCAGTCATCGTCGTCATCCGGAATGCCTGCTCTTCCAGACGAGTTGAACATCTCCGGCCGAACCACATCCATGTATGCCTCTGCTGCTGCACGGATGGCCTTCTCATCGCCCAATAGCCGACGGCCCTCCTGCCGTTGACGACCAGACTGTGATGCGCCACTCTTCCTACACTCGTGATCACTCTTGAAGGATGATGTCGATGATGATGGCGAGCACGGCGGTGATGATGGTGACGCCCGTGATGCACCCGTTGTCGATGGAAGGCTCCGGAACTCGGCGAGCATGCGTGCCGATGACCCTCCGCGCGGCGCAGATGAAGGCCATGCCACCATGAAGACCACAAAGACCACAAAAGCAAGTGATACTGCCAGTCGAGGCACATGGCGGTAGCGGGGCATAGTCACGGA